GGGACACACGCTAGCTACATTTAAAATACGTTCTGTGATTTGCAATGAATATAAAACAGTGGATTCAAGTGTGTTTTAACATGTCTGAAGTTTAGCTGTAGGGTTCATTTACTTTTGGGTGGCATGTTATGTAGTGCATATGTATGAGCTGCATTAAGGCAGTACATTCATTTTGAATGGGCTACCAGCACACCCAGATGTGACCAAAAATCAGGCATGACCCTTCTTTTGTAACACAATGCATGGCAATGCACTACCTTTTGTTGCAGTATGCCACAATGCAGGTGTGTTGGGGTACCTATCAAAATGAATAATACCATATTGTGCCGACACATTACCACAATGCAAAAGTATGATTATGCCCTTACAGCGACTGTCATGAATAAAATCAGGAAACTGTAAATGAACAGTACTACTACTCAGTGACGTCCCTAGGCAGGTGCGGGGGGTGCGTGCCGCACTGGGTGACACCTACTGCACAGGGTGACACAAAAAGGTAAGTTGTAAAGCAAGCCAACGATCCCCGCAGGACGGATCGGATCTGCGGATTGAGCATAATAGATCGGAGTCTGTTCCATTATGCTCCCCAATCCGCAGATCCGATTCATCCTGTGGGGATCGTTGGCATGCAACCTATACGGGGTGACACCGGACCCGCTCCACGAAAAGGTAAGTTGTAAAGCAAGCCGATGATCCCTGCAGGATGGATCGGATCTGTAGATTGGGGAGCATAATGGATCGGACTCCGATCTATTATGCTTAATCCGCAGATCCGATCCATCCTGTGGGGATCGTCGAAGGTGGTGTCACCAAGTGTTACCGCACCAGGTGACACCAACCTTAGGGATGCCTCTGCTAATACTTACAATTGCTGTGGGCAGTGAATTGAATCTCCTCTCTCTTGCAGAGCTAGAAGGCCCAGCAGAATGCTCAGTATCCAACATTTCTAAGCATGTTGGATGTTTTGCGTCCCCCCACTGCATGCTGTAGTCCCCCCTGCCCAGGGACACACTAAAGACTTATTACTGAGCAGGTGAAACAGTATGCAACAAGTTACCAGACATCCGAATCGATGGATGCTGAGGATTCTAGTGGACCTTTTAGCGCTGCGAGACAGCAATGCTCCAATTCAGCGATTACAGGGCTGATGAGTAGTAGTACTTTTCTTTTACAGGATGCTTTTTTTCATTGATTTTTTTCATTGTAGAATTGCTTTAGAGCTCACAACAGTAAAAATAGAAGGTTGCCATTCTGGACCTTTTGTTTGTTTTTATTCCTGTTTCCTGCAGTCCATGTGGAATATAATGAAATTTCCTTCCACAGACCCAAATAAAATAAACTTTCAGACCTTTCTGACATAACTTTGGGAGTGCTCTTTTCCATTACAATAGAGATCATGATTGTTTGCGAGTACTAACAATATTTAAATATGCCCAAGGAAAGAAGTCCCCTGAGACTATTCCTTTACAGCAAGAGAACGCGCTATACTATTTATGCACCTTCATGAAGAAAAACAGTAACTGATGTAAGAGTGAAAGACAATGCAAAGCACTTTACATAAAAAAATAATTAAAAAAGCTCTGATGTTGCTCAATTGTTCCCCTGAACTACCAATTAAGTGTAACTCTTTTCTGGTTATCTTTAGTGCTGGTTCACACTGATGCAGTGCGAGATTTGCGTTTCCTGTACCACATCACAATTGCACTCCATTCATGTAAAATGTGGGTGTCTATGTTAACAACACCCCAAAATTGGTTCCCAGAACATGAGTGTGATTGGCTGATTGGTGTGAACACCCATGCGATCCAATTCTAGTCCGAAAAAAAAAAAAAAATGTACATGCACCTTTCCTGCTGATGCCATTTGCAGTGCGATTTGAGCCATACAAAATAAATGTCCCAAATCACTCTGCAAAGAATCGCATGTGATTTGAACAGGAATGCGGTGAGATTCCTGTCCAAATCACATGCAGTATCCCGCACCGCAATAGTGTGAACCGGCACTTAAAGTGAATGTCACGCAATAGTTTTTTTTAGTTTTGGATGGAGTTGGAAAGGACTATAATCCAGGTAAGGTATTACAGGGGTTTCCTTCACTTTCTGTTTGTCAACAGTTTGTCCAGTGAGGAAAAATCTGCAGGGACATAGATAGAAATAACAAAAATGAATAGGGGTTCTAGCTTTTGCCTACTCCAACAAAAAAAGCTAATCTTTTACTTATATTTGGATACAGTCGGAAGGGCTAGACCCCCATACGGTTTTTTTACTGCTCTCTCTGTTAAAGAGATTTCCCTTCACTTCCTGTCCTGCTGATAACCCTTTGCCAGACAGGAAGTAAAGGAAACTCTCCAACAGCAACAAAGAGAGAAATATTTTTTTTTTTGCTTGACATACATTTTACAAAAAAAAAAGAAAGCCAAAAAAAATAAAATAAAATAAAATGTTATAATACAAAAAACCCAAATTGGTATATACTTTGGATATAGCTATGCAACTGAATCGTTTTTATTTTTAGATGCATTCCTTACAGAAAAGTCATAAAATGTGAGGCCCATAGCAGAAACATGATCCTATAAGCTACACAATACAACCTATGTTTGCTACATAAATGAACCATTGCACAATATTGATCTGACATTTGACTCACACATACAGAGGCTGAAAGCGGCAACAAAGTTCATAGAATATTTGTAACATTTAGTGGTGAGAATTCTATATCTCATGCTAAAAAAAAAAAAAAAAAACAAGTACCTATCACATGCTATTATGTAGGTTTACTGGTTAAAACTAAATGTGTTGTACTCTATCATGCACAAAATTAGAATCTAATGAAACAAAAGAAACAGATGCTGTGAAAGTTAATTTAGTTTTCCTGCCAAGAATCATTACAAAATAGCTGGAAGAATACACCTGGAAAACGCATATAGCAATGTGCATGTCTACTTGCTAAGTGTTATGTGAAACGGTTTAAATGTTAACACATTTCTGAGCCCCAGTAGACTTGCTTCTTTAGATAGTGTGAGCAACTGGACTGTCCAGTAGATATAAAGAGGGCTGCAAAACATGATGGAAACGCAAGTTCTTACTAGCCTAGGTTTAGGAGAATAAGAATGTAAAAACTAGTGTATTCATTTTCAAGGTTTCAGTAAGTGCAACAAAATACCTGAATCCTGATGACGGGATTCATAAAAGACAGTGGTCAATTGAAACAAATGTTTACTGTGTGTGACATTAGTGTCACATAGCCTATTTGCATAAATGTAACCTCTTCCCGTCGGCTGTACGCATATATGCAGCCTCCGGGTGCGTGGGCTTTATCCGCTTCCCCTCCACCCTATAGCAGAAGTACTGCTACAGGGTGGCAAGGCTGCGCAAAATCACGTGTAAATATACATGATTTGCATTTCCAGGTAGGGAGCGTGTGTGCCGCCAAACCTGCATTGCAATTGGCGGCTACAGATGTTGATCACCTGGTTCCGGACGGAGATTCCCCGCCGGCACCCAGCGATCACTGAGTAACACTGACAGGGCAAAGACCTGTGTGTATATAACACAGGTCTCTCTCCTGCCACCAATAACAAGTTGCTGTATATTTCTCTGCACAGCAGAGAAATACACAGCACCATGTTTCCCTAGTAAAACAGCACACGGTTAACCCTTTGATTGCCCCAGAGGTTAACCCCTTCATGCCCAGTGTCATTAGTACAGTGTCAGTGCTTTTTATAGGCACTGATCACTGTATAAGTGTCATTGGGATGATGTCAGTAGCAGTTAGTCAGTTCTCAGCCAGTGTCCGAATGGCAGCTGCAGTCCCAATATAAATTGCTGATTGCTGCCATTACTAGTATAAAAAAAATAAAAATAAAAATTCTAGTATATATACCGCCATTTGTAAATGCTATAATTTACATGCAGACCAATTAATTTACACATATTGTAATTTTTTTTTTAGCAAAAAGACATAGCAGAATACATGTTGGCCTAAATGTATGACGAAATTTGATTTTTTTAATTTTTTACTGGATATGTTTTATAGCAAAAAGTCAAAATTAATGGGGGGTTTTTTCAAAATTGTTGGTATTTTTTTGTTTATAACGCAAAAAATAAAAACTGCACAGGTGATCAAATACCAATGAAAGAAAGCTCTGTTTGTGGGGAAAAAAGGGACATCAATTTTATTTATGTACAGCGTTGCATGACCGAGCAATTGTTAGTTAAAGTAATGCAGCGCCATATATCGCAAAAAGTGGCCTGGTCAGGAAGGGGAGTAAATCCTCCTTGAGGGCCAGTGGTTAAAGCTGAACGGCTGCATATATGCGGCCCAATGTAAACATTTTACTGTGCTGAAAGCACAGTGCTTGTATGCTCCTAGCACAGCAATGAATGTCTACGGAAAGTTCCTGATGCATACTTGCGATTAGGAGCTTCCAATCATGTGACTGCTGTGGCAGCCAATGGTAGTGGTCACATGATCAGAATGCCTGCCTCCGCCTCCTGGCATTTAATCCTCTTAAGGGTCGGAGTCGGCTGTGGGAAGGGGTTAAAGATAAATTTCGGGTATGGATATTTTATATGTATTTACACTGGTCCAGCTTGGACCAACGTAACTATGAACAGTATATAAAACATACCTGGCTGATCCCCCTGGAAGCTGGAAATCATTGAAGTAGGCACCCCTGATACAGTGGTCTACACTTGCTTCCGGGTTCTGTGCTAAGCAGCTGCCCTACTGCATTTGAAACACAAGATTGTGGCTCAAAAGACATCAGCGCCTCACCGCTCCACCTCATCCAATCAGAGAATGCTTTGGATCAATGTAACTATGTATAAAATATCCATACCTGGCATTCATCTTTAGGAGCAAATTTATTAATAAAGAATAAAATAAAAAATGTAATATAAAGATCAACAAAGAAAGTTCACTAACAACAAACAAAAAAAAAATTCTCATGGTACAGGCATTTGATATTTTAGGAATGTAGAAAAGTGAGGGGAACTCTGCAATGGTCAGTAAGTGAAAAGGAAACAATATGTCATTGTGTGAATGCAAAGTTGTTAGCTCAGGAATGTAAATAATTTGTAACATTGCACCAGAGAAAAATCACTGTGTAAATGATGGCATACTAAATGTTTTCCAGAGTACATAGTAAGCAGGGGCGGACTGACAACTCATGGGGCCCCCGGGCAATAGGGGATCATGGGGCCCCTGTATCCTCTCCCACACTCAAACCACACCCAAACTAGCCTATGAAAGGTACCAGGGGCATCTCATGGGGCCCCTTACTGACCCCGGGCCTTCGGGCAGTGCCCGACTTTCCGAATGGTCAGTCCGCCCCTGATAGCAAGTCTTCCCTAATGAGCTAAAATGGAGTGCATACTTGCACATTATGGCATACACCTCATGGGAGCCCATTTAGAAAAATATCTATATAGTAGGGTTTAACTCTGCTTTAGGGCAAAAATTCATGTGGCATTTAACTCTTATTTACATGTGAGGACCATGTTTTGCCTGCAAGAGATGCACAAGTGTTCCATGCATCTGTGTACAGACAGTCCTATTCATGTCAACTGGGACACTGCAGCTGCACTGACACAGTGCACCCATATGGGTGCAGATGCAAGTCCCTGAACCCACAATGTCTGCGTTCAGGGACATGCACCTACACCCACACTGGTGTCAAATTGAGAACAGGACTGTGTCCATGTATCTGCTGCATCACAATTTACATAAATGGGACTACCTGCACATGGATGCAAGGTACACCTGTGCATCCCATGTGGACAAACACGGCTTTCACACAGTTATAAGCTAAAGTATGTTATACTCAGCAGCTCTGTGTAATGGTTTTGCACAGAGCAGCATCGATCCTACTCTTCTCGGGTCCATTGCCAGCGCTCCTGGCTCCTCCCCCCCCGAGTAGTGTCCCTACAGCAAGTTACTTGCTATAGGGGCATTGGAGCATGCTCGCTTCTGGGCCCCACTCTCTGTGTCCATAATACACAGCAGAGTGTGGCTTAGCCCCACCCCTCCACACAGCCAATGGCTCTTGCTGCTGTGTCTTAGCCAATGAGGAAGGAGAGACTTGGGGCTCCTGTGCACATCACTGGACCAAGATGGGGCTCAGGTAAGTATTGGGGGGGGTGAAGGGGGGCTGCTGCACACTGAAGGTGTTTTACCTTCTTGCATAGAATGCGTGATGGTAAAAAACCTTCAGCCTTTACAACCACTTTAATTGACCCCAGTATTTCATTCTGCAAGGGGTCCCTTGATGTCAAACCCACTTTTTCCTATTATTTTCCTATGTGATATACATTTGATGGTTCTGCTAAACTATGAAACAAACTAGATCACCCTCCAGCCAATGTAAAAGAAAGAATTTTGCTGCAACTCCTCCTCATTCATCTGGTATTCCATATCTCCCTGTTAAAACCAACCATACCAAGTGTATTTCCCAATCAAGATCCGGAGACTCCTGCTCCACTGCTGGTTGAAGGTAATGAAGAATACGAGGTGGAGGCTATCCTGGATTGTAGAAAGAGGTGTGTTCAGAGCCAGTTTCTCATCAAATGGAAAGGCTACGGTCCAGAGGATAATTTCTGGGAACCATCCGCTAATGTCCATGCGCCACGGTTAGTTCGAGCCTATCTCCATCTTCATCCTAAAAAACAAGCTTTAGTGGGCATCCGGAGGCTGCCCCTAAGGGGGGGCAATGTAAGGGATTCCCGATGAGACAATTTGCAAATAGAAATGTGCATGCGCATAGAAATGTGCGGAGAAGAGTGATCGGTTGTGCGCATACGCACGGAAATGCACGATTGCGCACACGCACGGCAAAGATTGGCGCTAGACGGACTATTTAAAGGTTGCCTCTGCCTATGCTAAGTGCTGACTGGTCTTCAGCTCCCCCCTGTGTCCTGCTTGTTCCTGTGTGATTCCCTTGTTGCTGATCCGGCTTGTTCTTGACCTGACTCCGATTACTCTCCTGCTTGATACTTGTTCCTGACTTCGGCTCTGCTCCTGACTTTGGCTTGCTTATGATTTGGTACCTCGCTGTCCGCCCATTGATGACCCTGGCTATTGCTATGATACTGCTCCTGTCTCTCACCCCCGCTTCCTGCCTTGCTCTGGTGCACACCTGGCGATCTACCATACCAGCTCTGCATATTACTACGGTGCCGGAATCGGAGGTTCATCAATCTTCCAAGGTCACCAACTGCAAGAGCTACAAACAACATCTACTGGCGCTCTTGTCCCCCTGGTCCCTAGACTCCCTCTGTTCCACCTCCAGTGGGGTCAGGGCTAGTGACACAAGTGAGGCCGACCTCATCATTTCAGTCTCCTATCAGGTACGTGACAGTAACAGTTGTCAACAAAAGTGAAAGTAAAAGAAAACTCCCAAATTTTAGGTTGTCTGCAGAACAGGAATAAAGGGGAATCTTTCAATGGGGACACTAGTTCTGGTGACAACCAGGGATCCCCTCACTTTGAAGGGATCTTCTCTCATTTCCTGTTGTGGCTATGAGATGGGAAGTGAAGGGAAATCTCCCAATGGGAAACAGATGGCAAAAAACTGGCAGAGGTTATACCCTCCCCCCATAAAGCTATCCAAAATATGAAGAAAAAAAAAGCCTTAAAAATCAGCAGAGGACTGTCCATACACCAAGAACTTGTGCATTTAGCTCAGAGCAGTCTTACCCCTAGCATTCAATCACATGCCTTTCATTTTCCTATATCGATCTGGCAGAAGGGAGTGTCTGATACCACTCTTCCTCTAGGCATTTTCAATGATACAGTCCTTTGTGTGCCATGGTTGGTACCCATCCTAATGATACATGATACCGAATATGTATGCCATCAGCACTGTCTATCGACAAGCTCATCTTTCACCATGCACCCTAGAAGAGCCAAGTTCTAATCCTGACTCAAATTATTATTTTTTTTTTTTTTTAGAAAAGGTAAATAGGATTGATTATTCCCTTGTTCATTTTAAAAAGCTGAGTGGACAAAATGGATCAATGTACTGCATATAATGTACTCTAGTAATTAAAATGTTGCAATGTCATTTTTGCATGCAAGGTCCAATTTAAAGTGCAAATCAGAGCAATTTTTTTTTTTGGAGCCACCAGTTCATGAACCTTCAATATAGAGCTGTCTACTGTGGGCAAAGTGGTGGTGTCTTTTTAAAAGAAACAGACAAGAAATGGTACTGGAAATTAATTTCTAAGTTTCTCGACTTGGCCCCTAAGGGGATCTTTACCAAAGTGGGTAGTAATGTGCTGCATGCAAATTCCATTCGTTATACAGAGGACAAACAGACAAAACTAATGCTAAGCCTCCTCACCCAAGAATGCATCAATACTAGTCATAATAAAGCACCCATGATACTCCAAAAAAAAAAAAAAAAAAAAAAAAAAAAGGCTGAAAACCTTACGATACAAAAACAAAGAAAAACCTTGACATTTACCATCAACCATTCACTCTGGTTGAATTAAGTTTTAAGAAAATTCTACAAATACAAATTGGAGCTGCATAAATCACTACTACTACTACTACTACTACTACTGTCCACATCACTCATGGATACCAGGAAACATGTCTATCATTTTGTAACCTGCACTGGTAACTAGGCTGATTCCAACTGAACAATCCTGACCCACATCAAACTTCTACATGACAGATGTGCTGTGTTTTAGGGAAACTTTATATTTCACTACCATTCATTCCTATTGAAGGTGTGTTGTGCTGGAAACAATTGTGTGTGAAAAGGCTGCATATCCAGATATCACCCATGGAGATGACCCCTAGGATAAATAGGCAAAGGATGAGAAATGTGTTTGTAGTACAGAGAACTTCTATAGCAATGAATTCCTATTGATAGGGCAGTAATGAATAGGTATGAATTAGAGAAAACATAGGTGTTGCTGGATAAACAGAATTATCTTCTTACCATAATGTAAAAAAGTAACTAGAGCAAACAGCCCTCTGTTGCAGGCCACTGCTTTTGTTTAAAAGTAGGTTAAAAAAAAAAAAATCAGTGAATCTGACAATCAATAAAAACTTCAGATGAATCTTTCTTGGTGCTTGTGTTTTAAACAATGAACAATTCGCCACCCATGCCTGTTTGGTGAAAGTCACATTAAATTACATCCATGGTCAAAATGTAAATTCGTATACTCCTGTCCAGACTGTATTCCAGTTATTTCTGGCCTACTTCTATTAATCTGAATGGCTTTGAAGTTTGTAAATTCACTCTGTGAAGATCCGCACACATTTACCTCCCTGAATTCAGTGACAAACACTGAATTCACTATGCCCTGTGAGTAGGCACTGCTGTGTCACACATTTCACAGAGCTTGCCTTCTGAACTATACAGGTGCTGAGAGGAGACGTTTCAGGAGCCGGAGTCATAGGAATCACTGCTTGCAGGCAGCAAGGTACCATGGGATATGTAGTCCTTAGAAATGGAAAGTAAAGAGCAAAGGATAAGTTGCAAAGCATGCTGGGAATCCAGGAAGTTGTGGAAAGAGATAACTAGCAGACAGGCAGAACTCATAACATGAAAGGAGATTTTTCAATAAGCATATTGAAAAAAATTTGACTGTCAAATAGAACTATCTATGAATTGCAATTACAATGCTGATGCTATAGAATGAATATGCATGCTATGACTATAGAACTCATTTAACTGCTTTATAAATGTCCTCAAGTGTCAATGTACCCATATTCAGCTAGCCTTGTCTTTTTCTTTAATTGCATTTTTTATGTACCTCACTGTAATCCCAAAAAAGGATATTTCAGTTTGGTGGGCACTGTTTTTTTTTTATTGCCCAGCGGCTTCCTAGAATTCTTTGAGACTCCAATGATGAGAACTCCCTACAGTGGTTTGCATCTTCTGACATCTTAGTCCTCATGCACACTGGACATTTTTACAGCTGCTGGATTTGGCTTTTGGCATTTTTTTCTACAGCCAGTAAACCCCCCAGCATATTATATTATGTGTCCATGCACACATAGACTTTAATCAACTTTTTTTGGCTGGAACATTTTTTCGTTGGAAAAAAAACCCCCAGAACTAGTGGGTTTCTAGAGGAGTTTTTTAGCTGTAAAAACGATCCAAAGCTGAAAAACGTGGCAAAACGCTGCAAACCAGCAGTTTTGGATGTTTTTTGACCAAAAAAAACCCACAATTGTTTTGGTAACAAAATGCTAAATAATGCAAAAA